AGCCAGACATGGTTGCTCCTTCACTCCTACAACCCTATCACTTGGGAGGCTAAGGCAGGAGAACTGACAGGGGTTATAAGGCTAGTCTGGGCCATAAAAGCAAGGCTGTCTCAAGGGGGAAAAAATGATGGTGACTCTCTTCACTGAGTTGAGGAGCAGGAAGCAGTGAAGAACTTACTAAACCACTTCCGCATATTTGTACTTTTCTGTAAATTAGAAAAATAATCTCTTCAAGACACGGATTTTCAGCCAAGCATGGTGGCAACACACTTGTGATTCCAGCACTCAGAAGGCTGAGGCGGGAAAAACTTGAGAGTTCAAGTCCAGCCTCATCTACATAACTAGACTGCTTCTCCTACCTCCCAAATAAAACAGGCCTGGGGATATAGTTCAGTTGGTAGTCAAGACATTCTGAGTTTGATTACTGGAACTGCATAAACCAGGCCCACAGCATACACCTGAAATCCCAGCACTTGGGAAGGCCAAGCCAAGAGACCAGAGTCCCAGGCTGTCCTTGGGTAGGTACACAGTGAATCTAACACAATCCTAGGCTGTAGGAGACACCGTTTTAAAGAAAATAAAACAAAAAGATACCTATTTTATGCAAAATGGTCACCTTCTGAGTAATCACACTTTTCTCTAAAACATAGATCTTGAAGTGGTATGCACATATAATCAAAGAACTTGGATGGCCGAAGCAGGAGGATCCAAACTGGAGATCCTGCCTCAAAAATAAAATACAAGAAACAAAAATAAAATAAAATATAGATCCCGTTCCTCAAAATACTTGAAAAAGTCCTTATTATGTAAGATTTAAACTATTAGTTTCAATAGACCCTTAAAGAAAATGAGTAAGACATGACTGCTTAGTGCTCAGTTTTTACCTGGGTCAGCTCTCTGAGATTTTGTGTAATAAATCAACTTAGCTAGAGAAACAACTGGCTGAGGGGCTGAAGATGTAGCCCAGTTGGTGGCTCACCCTGGGTTCTATCCCCAAGTCAGCATATAAACTGGGGGTAGTTGTACATGTCTGCAACCCTAGTATTCAAGAATTCAACTGGCTAAGAGAGGCTACCTAAAAAAACTAAACACACACACACACACACACACACACACACACACACACACACACACACACACACGAGAGAGACAGACAGAGACAGAGAGAGAGAACACAAAAAAAAGCCTGAGTCAGCTGAACACAGCCAGAAGTTTTCTCTAAACATTTGTAACCTTTTGAATAAAGCTAATTTGTAACTTGTTCAATTGGAATGTAGGGAATCTAGTAAAAGGGATTTCAAGTTGTGTTTGTCTCTGCTTCCAGTAGGTACTCAATCCTGCATCTACATCCGGGACATCATTCCAGTCATGGGACATCATTCCAGTCATGGGACATCATTCCAGTCATACACGCAAAGTAAAACATTCTTTCCACACCTCTGCATATCAGGTTGGTAAGAAAATGTTCAAGTAAACAATGCCAGAAATCATGTTCCCTAGTTCTCACTTAAAAAACTAAAACAAAGCCGGGCGGTGGTGGCGCACGCCTTTAATCCCAGCACTCGGGAGGCAGAGGCAGGCGGATCTCTGTGAGTTCGAGGCCAGCCTGGTCTACAGAGTGAGATCCAGGACAGGCGCAAAGCTACACAGAGAAACCCTGTCTTGAAAAACCAAAAAAAAAAAAAACAAAAAACAAAAAACAAAACTAAAACAAATAAATAAATAGATGTGTGTCTGCCTGCCTGCCTGTCTGTGGGTATGTACGTGACAGACAGCAGGTCTACAAGAACGGAAACTCCGGATGCCCTGGGGCTAACGCCACAGGCAGTTGTGACGTTGTGACGTGAGTGCTAGGAACCTGACTCTGGCCCTCAGGAAGAGACTACTGCTCTTAACCTCTGAGCCATCTCTCTAGCCACTAGCTCTCACCTTTCTACTGAGAAAAGGCCTCCATGAATATTAAAGGTCTACAGCTTTACTTTTAAGTCCATCTTTGCCACTGCAAGGTACCTTCTGGAAAGGTAAAATACTGTCTACTGAGAAGGACAGTCAACTAGAACAGGTAACTGAAACAGATACTGTAAGTAGCATTAAACTGAAAAAAAAAAAAAAGTAGCATTAAACTGGTCATTTATAAAGGGAAAGCACTTGGTCTTGACATAAAATAAAGAACACTCCACAGTTTTACGACAAAATTCTCACTCATTGCCCAAGTTAGTCTTAAAATCATGGATTAAGTGATCCTTCCCCCAACTTCTCCAGTGCTGAAACTACAGGCACTTACCATTGTGCCCAACTCAGGTATTTTTTTAAAGATGCACATATTGAATTGTTTAAGGACTATGATTATTTGATTTCAGGAAAATCAATCCTTGCTTGCATACCCTCACAAAAAGATTAAATGCTACAACATAAAAATTCAAAAGCTTGGTACTCACTGCTATGCTAGATGACAAAATTCAATTTTAACAAATCTCCAAACAGGCAAAAATCTGTTCAATAACCATGATCACCCCCCCAAAAAAACCCACAAAATTCATAGTAAATAAACACTATAGAAAATACTTAATCTTTCTATCCTTAGGAAATGATAAAATGGGGCACAAAATAAACCTCAGATACTAGATCTTAGCAGCCTAAATATTTCCACAGGATAAAAAAAAAAAACCATGACTGAAAACTAATATTTATTAAATACCTACCAAGTGCTAGGTGGCCCTGCTTAATGCTCATTTAAAATACAAAGTTACACCCGGGCAGTGGTGGCCCACGCCTCTAATCCTAGCCCTGGGGAGGCAGAGGCAGAGGCAGGCAGATCTCTGTAAGTTCGAGGCCAGCCTGGGCTACCAAGTGAGTTTCAGGAAAGGCGCAAAGCTACACAGAGAAACCCTGGGGGGGGGGGGGGGGGATATACAAAGTTACTCTCATGCTGTTGCACTCCTTTAAGCTACACAATGAGACCCTCTCTCAAAACAAAACAAGCAAAAAACAACAAAGTAACTATGTAATGCAGGACTCATTATGACCATTTACATATTGAGAAAGTATGGCTTGCTTGCGGCCACAAATCTAGTAAATGCCAAGGTAACATTATAATCAGTATAATTCTAAAATCTAGGAGTCAAACTATTCTTATACTGTATCATGAGAATGGATTAACACTACAACACTTTACTTCCAAGTCTCTAAAATTAAGCTCTAACAAGACTTACATCAGTTCTTAATTTATAGGTCTCAAACCCTTTGGGGGTCATATGATCCTTTCATGGGGGTCACGATATTTACACTGATTCAGAACAGTAGCAAAATTACAGTTATGAAATAGCAACGAAAATAATTTAATGTTGAGGGTCACCACAACTCGAGGACATGTTCAAAAAAACATGTGAAAGGGTCACAGCATTAGGAAGGCTGAGAACCAATCTGTAGTAACAAGAATTACAAACATCAGGATCAACACCATTTAGATTCCATAATCCCAGGTCAATACATCATTACGGACAACTTTAAACAACATTCTGGAACTTATTCCCAATTCCTCTAATTTCCTCCAGCCTCGTTTTGATTCCAACTTACTCCCATTCCTTTTTAAAACTTTTTTATGTGTTAACTTCCACTTCTTAGGAAAAGTGAAAAATCAAAACTGAAAATATGCTGTTGTGTGGTAATGTAAGGTTGGTAACAAATCACCCCCAAGTGAAGTGTATAGAATAGGCAAACAAAGCATGTAAGTAACCATTCAGTATACTATCAGTCATTGTTAACTTCAATGTATGCAAAACTCACTTCATTCCTCAAATTCAGGTTGTCTGGTAAAATGGACACACACTTCAACAAACTTCAGAGAAAAGACAAAAAATCCAAACAGTACTACTAAATTTACAATAATTACATAGCTCAAAAATTTGAACACCAGCCGGGCGGTGGTGGGGCACGCCTTTAATTCCAGCGCTCGGAGGCAGAGGCATGTGGCTCTCTGTGAGTTCGAGGCCAGCATGGACTACAGAGGGAGTTCCAGGAAAGGCGCAAAACTACACAGAGAAACCCTGTCTCGAAAAAACAAAAAGAAAAAAAATATATATATAACAAGACTTTGAAAACTTCACTAGTATACAGTTAGAGGTGAGACTTCTCAAACTTTTTTTTTTAATGAACACAGAAGATAATGACTTCTAAAGCTGTAGGATGAGCCCGAGGGAATTTTCAAAAACAATAAAGGTGAACAGGATTCGAATTCACAAGACAAAAAAAAAAAAAAAACCACTGGCCCCTGATCTACGTCAACCACCAAATCTTTGGTATTTTTCTAGGCCTGTCCCTGTGTAGATGCATAACTGTTAACCTTTCCATTTTTCACAGTTTACAGTTCTGTCCTAGGTTTCTGTCCACTAACCTGTTAGTTATCTCGGTGCTGAGTTCATCCTCCTTACCACAGAGTGGGGGAAGGGAGAGCTAAAAGTTGCTTTACTGTTCCAATTCTAATTTAGAAAAACCAAGGTATTTTCTGCATCCAACCGCTGGAACGAGCTACCGGCCCCTCAGGACCACGCCTAAGTTACTGACACCTGGGAGACCCGAACTAGCAAAGGCAGGCGGGTGGGTCTCCCTACTTTCCATATGGGACAAAACACCGAAACCGAGTTTCCAATCTGCTCGGCTCGTTCCGGTGAGAGGTTCTGGACTGCGAAGCTTGCACGTGGGCCGATCCGACTGCTGCTGTCACTTCTCGTCGCCAGTTAGGATCCAGGGCGGGGAGCGGACCCCTCGGTGAAGGGCTGGGACTCGGGCTGCCACCACCCTCCCCAGAGTCCGGCCGGCCACGCCGCCGCCTGCTGCCCACATGGCCGGCCAGCCGAGGGAACCAGGGTACGGCTGGGCCGACGCTCACGCGGGACCCACGGCCCGCAGGCCCGGGCGGCGCCCCAGGGCCCCGAGTCCGCCCGCCCGCCCGCCCGCAGCCGGCGCCTGCCGCGCTGCCTGGCGCCCCGGCCCGCACCTACCTTCACGTCCTCGTCCTCGTCCTCACCCTCCCAGCGGTCCCCGCCGGCCGTGCCGCCGCCCGCGACCTTCCGCATCGGGTCCTCCATAGAGAACGTGTCCGCGTCTACGGAAGAGAGTGGGGCGCGTTAGTACACGCGTGGGAGCGAGGCCGCCGCGGCCCGCACTCGGGCCGGAACTTCTGCTCACCCCAGGAGTCTGAGTCCCCCGCCGCCGCCGCCGCCGTCGCCGCCGCCGCCGCCGCCGCCATCTCGAGTCGGGGGCGAGCGTGAGTGCAGGAAAGAGCTGCGAAGAGTTAGCGCGGCAGAGGTGAGTCACTGGGCTGGCTCTCGTTGGCCCGCGCGGGGCAGGCTGGGACCGTGGCTGACTGGGCGCCCGGCCCAGGCTCCGCCCCTTCGTGCGACGCGCGCGGCGGGCGGGGCGGGGCGGGGCGGGGCGGGGCGACGCTGGGCTGGGAGACGCCAACCCCAGCCGGAGGCCCCCAGGAAGGAAAAGGAAGTGCGCACGCGTGAGTAGGGTGGTGCTCGCCTGCCGGCAACCCATCATCTACTACTGATGGACTGAGAGCGGGCAGGCGAGCTGGGTGGAGGCAGGAGACAGCATGCGGGCCTCCAGATCGAAGTTGACCCCAATCTCTCGGGGTTTTCCCTTCCCGTGAGCCCCCGGAGGCTAGCACGGTGATTCTTTGGCGAAAACATTTCGGAATTCCGTGGTCTGTGCCAGGCCTATGCTCTATTTTGTCCTCAACCCAGTAGCAAAATAGTTATGTAAACAGATTTCGACACAGTGCGATGGCTGCAACAAAAAGAAGCATTATGAGGTTAGATGTGAAAAGGTAGCATTAACGACGGCGGAGGTTGCAGTTTCCTGTCTGCGGTAGACTGCCTGCGGTAGGCACTGGTGAAGTTGAAGTTTGAGAAACCAAGTGGCTTGTGCTCCGGTACATTTCTGGTAGAGAGAAGGCTTGTGGTCCTCACCTGACTGAGTGCAATCGAACAGGTAAACTGATGATAAAGAACCTAAAAGGAGCAGAAATTTTTTCCCCTTTGGCACTGGGCTGCTCAGTGAGGACATTAAGGGACGAGCTAGTTTAGATATTTTGTTGTTTAAATTTATTTTCCCTATATAACCATAGTTTTTGAAGTCTTAAAAAGATAGACAGTAATCAGCCATTCTCTTATTAATGTCCGTTTCTTGTGAATTTTGGGTCTAAAAATAAACATTTCATAAGGTCGTCTTTCAAGAAATGTTCTACAGCATTATTAAATTGTGAGACGACGACGATCTCTAAAGAAAGCATCTATTTGTAAAGGTGGATTGAAAGTAAGCGAGAGAGACAGCAGCAAAAAGCTGGAATCGACATTCCTGAGGACACAATCATTCACAATTTTTATCTTCAACGTTTGGCAAAGTTCCTAATACATAAGTATAATTAATTTGCTGTGCTAGGGATAAAACCAAGAGCTTCTGCAAGCCTTGCACTACCACTGAGCTATGCAACCCCCAACTTCAGTGAATGAATTCAGTGAGAAGAATTCAAGCCTAAATTAAGCTAAATTAAATGATGAGGAAAGAACCCCTATGAACCTAAAAGGAGCAGAATTTTTTCTGAAAAAAATATTTAAAGATCAAAGGCAACAGAACTTAGTGATTGGACTGATTAATTTTATGTATCAGCTTGACTAGACTGTGGTACCCATGTAACTTAGTTTAGTCAAACACCAGTCTAGTTGCTGTGAATGTGTTAGATGTGATTAATGCTTAAGTCAATAAGCTGAGTAAAGCAGACAGATAAAGCACTGTAATATATATGGATCCAGCCAGTAAGTCCAAATTAAGACAAGACCCTCAGGAAGGAAGACTTGTGCCTCCAGACCATAGCATCAGATCTCCCTTACGTCTCTATCCTGCTTGCCTGCCCTGAAGATTTTTGGATAGTTGTGATCTAAATTCCTTAAATTCTCTTTTTATACATGCATCACATTGATCTGTTTCATTCGAGAGCCCTAATATAGTGACTGAATGTATTGAAGCTCTGAGTAGGAAAGGTTTGCTTTAGGAGACTGAGTGATGGTGACACTCACTGAGATGTATAAATCAAAACCTGAGAGCTATCCTTTATTTCTTGACCTCTTTGACCCCCCTTAATTCCATTTGTGACCCAGTTTTGTAACTCTTTCCATAACTGAAATTGAAAAATTACTACTACCTGAATCCTAAAGAGTTTTGTAACTTCTCAACTGGTATTCCATCTTCATCTCCTTCTCCACAATCCATCCCCTACACAACAGTTTGCTTGCTTAAAAATGTAATTTATGCCAGGCAGTGGTGGCACACACCTTTAATCCCAGCATTTGGGAGGCAGAGGCAGGTGATCTCTATAAGTTCGAGGCCAGCCTGGTCTACAGAGTGAGTACTAGGACAGCCAGAGCTACACAAAGAGAGAAATCCTGTCTGGAAAAACCAAACAAACAAAATAACAACAAAAAAACTAATGTATTCCAGGTGTGGTGATCCAGGCCTGTATCCCAGCACTCTTGATGCAGAAGCCAAAAGAGCCCAAGTTTCAGGCCAACCTGGACTACATATCATGACCCTGTCTGAATAAAACAGTAAATAATATTACTTCCTTCCAAGTAAAACCTCCTTAATGACTTCTTGTTTATTTTTAGAAAAACATCAACTTCTTGGCCTGGGAATGTAGCTTAGTTGGCAGAGTGCTGGCCTAGCATGCACAAGACCGTGAGTTTAATCTCTAGCACCACATAAATGACGTGGTAGCACACAGGAGATGGAGGCAGGAGGATCACAAGGGCAAGGTCATCCTGAACTACACAGTGTTTGAGGCCAGCCTGGGTTACATGTGACCCCATCCCAAAATGACAGTTCAACTTTTTTCATGACCAATAAGCCCTCGCACAGACTATCCTACCTCCTTTCAGACATATGCTGATCTCTTTCTTTTTCTCCTTCTTCTCCTTTTCCTTCTTCTGCTCTCCTTCCTTCTGACTCCCGGCCCCTCCATCCTTTATTCACTTCATTGCTGAGGCTACTCTTTTCCTCTAGGAGCTAGCGTCTCTGCTGTTTCTTCCTGTGGTGCTCTTCTCACACTCTGCATGGATAGCCCCTCCTCCTTCACATCAAAGCTGAATGTTACCTTTGCAGAAATTCCTTCTGTGAGCTGAGCATGTAGCTCAGTTGGTAGAGTGCGTACCTGGCATGCAGAAGGCCCTGAATTCAGTCCGTAGACCATAGAGTCTGGTGGCACATTTGCAAAGGACCTTCCTGTTCACTCTCCACCTCATCATTCTGTTTTCTGGTTTGTTGCAGCATTTATTCTGTGATTATCTTGTTTTCTATATGAAGCACAGGGTCTTGCCTGTTTCCTTTTGTTGTGAGGTAGCAAAGGGGGCATGAAACAAGGTCTTAGACTATGTAGTCCAGGCTAGCCTGGAACTTCCTAGGTAGTTCTTGACTTCCACTCTAGATTCATCCTCCTGCCTCTGTTTCCCAACTAGATGGGGTTGCAGGCCTGTATGCCACCACATGTAGCACTTTTGTGTTCTTTGTTGTTATATTCCTGGTACCTAGCACATAGTAAATGCCCAATAAGTTCTCTTAAAAATGACTCAGTGACCCCTCTTAAAGAATACAGGGAAAATTGTTTGGCTACACTGTAGTCAGAATTTTTCCTGTGTCCTGCCTCGTCCGCAACCGCTCAGACCCAAGTAAACACACAGAGGCTTATATTAATTAAAACTGCTTGGCCATTAGCTCAGGCTTTCTACTGACTAGCTCTTACACTTAAATTCAGCCCATTTCCTTTAATCTATATGTTCCCACGTTTTCCGTGGCTTTACCTGTGTGCCATTACATGCTGCTCCCTGAACAGCAGGCTGGCATCTCCTGTCTCAGCCTTCCTCTTCCTAGAATTCTCCTTTTCTGTTTATCCCGCCAATACTTCCTACCTGGCTACTGGCCAATCAGCATTTTATTAGACCAGTGTACAAAAGCATCCCACAGCATTTCCCCTTTTCTGTTTAATTAAAAAGAAAGGTTTTAACTTTAACTTGGTAAAATTACGTATAACAAAGTTATCAAGCAAGAATTACAGTTACAATATCTAGTCTATTTTTATTTGGCAAAATTAAAGAAAAATTCTATATATCCTATATTTATGAGTCTAAAGTTTTATATCTAATTTATCTTTTATCATAACCAAGGAAAATTGTAACTATCTAGTCTTCAACTACATCAAAGACCTCAGAAGGATACAATGTTACCTAAGTAAACAGAAAGAGCATTGTAAGCAACTTCTAAAAATCTAGAAGACAGAGACAGCTGCCTGCCTGGACAGTTCTCAAAGTTCTTCTGTAACGTTGGGTCATCCATCTTTAGCCCATAGGCCTAGTCTCTCAGTCATTTTTTTTTTCTGTGTCCTGTAGAATGTTTGACAGTTTCTTCTGCGAAGCAAGAACCTGAAGGACCATCTCGCCTTGCAAAGTTCACTGGTCACCTTCCTATGGGTTCTGCATGTCTAGTTTATACAACATATCATCAAGCAGTCAACACAGAGGCACTTTTTTGCCCAGTGGCTAACTTTTGCCACAAAGAAAGCAAACTCCATAATGAGTTTCTTCAATACCCATTATCTTCTCCTAAGTAGATTGGTGCTGCCAGGAGCAGACATGTCTCAATGTCCAGAAACTCAAAGTTCTTAAAATATTTTAAATGCCATATACTGTGGGTCTTTGAAGTGTTTGAAGATTACCTACCTAATTGAATTATATCTATGTATATCTAGAAAACTTAACATGACTATAAGTTTGACTATCGTAGAAGACTAATTATTAGTCTGTATTTCTTAGTTGTCCATTACAATTTAAATGAGCTGCACAAACATATCTTAAACAAGAGTAGAAATATACATACAGTATAACAAAATTAACTTTAAATTTGTATCAGTAAACTAAAATCTATATCACTGTAAAACATTTTAAGCAAGTTGCTCTTTAAAAGTAGGTTTAACAATCCACCCTTTTATCCTATCATATCTACATCCTGTATTTCCATGTCATATCTCCCTTTCTTCTTTTAGAAAGATATTGACTATGACCAATAATAATTTGTAACCAACAACCTAAGTAAAGACAAACATCCATAATCCATTTTTTGGGAATGTGGGTATAGTTTTCTAGGCTACTTGCTACTGATAGAGGGCACTGGTAATCTTATGGGAACACAAAGAAAAGTTTAGGATTATGGTCAAGTCCTGACTGGAATAATTTGTGAGGCTGTATTCTCTGAGCCAGTTGCCTTGAAGTTGATTTTGGATGTTGGATGATCTGGGCCATGGTGTCA